TTGGCCCAGAGGAAAGATGCCTCAAAGAGTAATGGGGATTTCTTTAATGAGGATCATTATTATTTGTAATGCACTGACCTGGCCATTAATCAGCTTTCTATTGTGTCCTATAAAACCAGAGTCTTAGTTTTAAACTAATTCCAGCCAAAGCATAGGTTAAATGTTAACAGAGCTGACTGTCAAAAGAACAAAGCATGTTAATAAAATAACTTTTGGGGGTTAGGAAGGAAAACAATTATTCCTGATTTAATTAAAGAAGCAAAGAAATCAGCTGCTCTGGATTTGAGGCTGATTGTGAGCTGATGTTTCTCTCTTGTACAGAATCCACATTTGACCTTTCGATAGAATACAGTATCCTCATGGAAGAGAAAATGTCTCATTAAAAGTGAAAGTGATAGATCACATCTATTAATCAATGGTATGGAAATTCTTTAGGCCTCAGACTTTGTGTTTCGATGCATCTCTTTGGAATCAATACTGTTTCCAAGTAAATAAAACAAAATCAATAGGAGACATGTATTCCTTTTTGGTTGCAAATCATTAGTTTCCAGTGTTTCTGAATCTTAAACTACAAACGAAATCTTTATAAAGTTGCCTTTATAGAATAAACAATACTCAGGGGACTCAACATGTTTACTCATTTGAGATACAGAACCTTGCAAGGATCTAATTGTTTAAGAGCTGCTCCTGTGGTCTTGCAATGCACTGTTACTGGAAAAAGGCTGTGTGATGGTTTTGAATAGAGTTAATTTTCTTCACCATATCTGGAAGGGGGCTGTGGCTTGGATTTGTGCTGGAAGCAGCGTTGATAATTCAGGGATATTTCCTATATCCTTGAGCAGCACTTCAGAGCCAAGGCCTTTTCTGCTCCTCAGCCCACCCCACCACGGAGGAGGCTGGGGGTGCACAAGGAGCTGGGAGGGGACAGAGCTGGGACAGCTGATCCCAACTGACCCAAGGGATATCCCAGACCATATGGCCTCATGCTCAGCAATAAAGCTGGGCGAGAAGGAGGAAGGGGGGATGTTTGGAGTGGTGGTGTTTGTCTTCCCCAAGTCACTGTTACACATGATGAAGTCCTGCTGTCTTGGGAATGCTGAACACCTGCCTGCCCTTGGGAAGTGGGGAATGAGTTCCTTATTTGCTTTGCTTGTGTGAGCATCTCTACCTGATCCTGCTGGGAGGGAGGGAGTGGCCATGTAGGGCTGTTACCAGCTGGGGTTAAATCATGACATGTTGCAAGGAGGATTCTGGTTGAAAATACTCCAATGCTTTGGAGGTCTGTGGTAGGAAGAAAACAATCTGAGTTTTATCCCTCACTCCTTCCTGTGTCTTCTTAATCTTCTACTCCTCTTTGGAGTCTTCTCTTAGGGAAAAGTGAATGCTGCCTGAAACAAGGTTGTCAGCCTGGTGTTCTATATCAGCATTTTCTCTGACACTCCCTTCTTGTATAAATTCCTCCCCAAAATGCTGCATTGCATCTGGTATCCTAAAAGCCACTAGAGTTGGAAAAGTGTTACTATGGTTCTGCTTTTCCTTCTGCTGTGACTTGAAAGCAATGGTGTGTTGTGGTGGTTTTCTGAGAAACAAACAAAAACTGCTCTGAGCAGTTGGGATGTAAAAAGCCAAGGATAACAAAAATCCTGATGCCTTGTGTTACTCCTGAAGGCTTAGATTGGACAACAGTTAAAGCCTTAAGAAAACAAAGTAGTAACAGAGGGTGGGGAGAGCAGAGCAGAACGCAAACTTCTCTGCAGGGAGCTAAGAAGCCAGTGAGTCATTTTTCCTCAGGGACAGAAGCGAGAGCCATTTGTCACACAAAAATAAGAAAGTGAATTTTGGGACACTGTCTGTGCTGCAGTGCAGCATCACACAGTCACTGTCCTACGTCGTTTCATTGAGTTATTATGTTGTAAAGTTCACACAATCCCCTCAACTGAGCACATGACCAATATTACTCAGGTGCTCGGGGAAGAATGGGCCTATTGTGAAATCATATCCTCATTAGCTGTAACCTGCAGAACATTCATCCTGCTTCCCATCACAAAAAGCCTAATCAGTGTCCTTGGTTTTCTTCTGTTGGATGATTCATACAGAGGTGAAAGCATTGTGGTTCCATCTTGGTTAATGTTTTTCATAATGTTGTGTCCCCTCCCCCTTCTGAAGTTAGTTTTGTTCGAAAAAATGTACCAGGGAAAAGAAAAATTAAAACTGGGTGACAGAACTTTCAGTCTTCTGCTCCAGAAGGTCAAGGGTGCTTAACACACACTTGAAGATTCAATTTAAGTGATTTTTCTTGGAAATTCTTACTGGTTTTTTATTAGTACACTGTTTTACTCATTGTTGTTTCCAATATGTGAATCCTCCCTTCTCCTTGATAGAGCTTCCAGAGAAGCTCAGTAGAAAAAGGAAAAACCCAAGTCTAACTTCTCCCAACTGTTACTGTGAGGATATGTTGAATGTGCACTTAACACAGAACCAGATTTAATAGAAACAGAGACTTGCAGCAAGAATGAAACTTCCACAAATCTGTTAAAAGCTATGAAGAGGAGAAGCTGGTGGAAGAAAGAAGTAGAGCCAAAGTAGCTCAGACTGGAGTTGAGTGAATGCAGCAATAAAGCATTTGCAAATGTTCCTGTGAGTAAAACCTGCTGATTTGATTTGCTGCTATTGCCTTCCATTTTAATCACTTACAAACATCTTGTTCTGCTAATTCTTATTCACAAGAACAAAACACAGAAGACAAAAGCACCATGGATACTTCCATAGATATCTGAGATATTCCCACTAGAAGTGTTAGCCCTTTTGAAAAGCTTGTTTTTTTCTTTTAATTTGCAGAAAAGACTATCAAAGTTACACGTGTTCATTACGTGAACTCTTGAAAACCACAACCTGTTTGTAGAGCATTCGTGAGTTAGAGGAAGGGAAGAATTCTGATACATGATCCAGATCATGCAAAGAAGGGGAAAAGTGTCTCAGCTGTGACTATCACAGAAGGATAGGTATGAATAACATGTGGCTACCAGTATATGAACAGAGGGGGCCTAGGGATGTTTCTGTTTTCAGTTTAAAGATTAATCCAAAGCCTGCAAAAATTGACTGATTAATTGCACAACTTGGGTGTCAGAGTTGCAGGGAGTTGCAGGCTTTGAGAAGTGCCACAGGTGTGTGTTCCACAGCATTAACACACGGCAGCTTTGTCACTTCAGATGGATTCAAAGTGTTCTGGTGGTTTAACCAACAGTGACAGGGTTTGTGAAAGTTCAAGTTTTGTAACTCTCCACTGTCCCAATTTTGTGCCAAGTCAAATACTGTTTGCCCTTCCATAGCAGGCAGTGTGTAATAATGTATATTACAGTGATCTAATGGTATGTTTCCTGAACAAGTAAGAGCTCTTTCTGTCCTTGGAACAGCATACTTTTCTGGTCCTTGGTAGAAATACCAGGCTATCTTATTTTAAATTTGTCCTTTTTCAGATGCACTGTGTGGTCTCTAACACCCACCTGAGTCCCTGTGACACCCAGCTCAGAGGGAGAGGCTTTATTAGGTCAACATCTCTTTCATTTTCTCTTGCTTGTTTTAAAACTTGCTGTGTGAGATGTCATCTGCCCACTCTCCCCTGAGGTGTAAAAGCCTTGTGCCCCCACAGCAAGGCAAGAACACACCGGTCCTCAAGGGGACCCGGGGGGAAGGAGGCTATAAGTCCTTGTCCAGGATGGGATTTAAGGCTATGATGTGTGGCTTCTCTATTTCACACTTTCATTTTTCTCTCATGTTTAAGTAGGTAAAGAAAGGTCTAGAGTCCATATGTGCTTTTAAGGCTTGGGTATTTTATTCTTCAGTTTTTCCTTGTGTTACTTTGTTAGTTGGGGCTGTTGCTGTCATTCCATCTCTCAGTGGCATTGCTGTGCATGTGCAGAGGGGTGCTTATAGCAGAAAAAGCCCTCTTCCTTGGAAAACTCATGGCTCTCAAAGAACTGCTTTACACCTATGCTGGCCAAACAATTGCTGGCTGGGGTGGTTTGTTTTTTCAAGATCTCACAGGTAACCACTGAGAGCATAAACAAGGCCTTGGGTGCCACTCTGGGCTCCCTTTGCTTTTCCTCTCAGCTCTGTGCTCAGCTGTCCAGCACCTGTGGAGTGTGAGGTTTATCACTGCCTTTGAGGCTTTGTTAGGCACGTGCTATTCCTGGCCAAACCAACACGATGTGACTTTTGCTCCCATAAAATGTTAATACAGCAAAAAGGAATCTTTGATTGATTTGCTTTGATGAGTTGGTAGCAACCTTTTCCGGGACTGAAACTGTAACCTTTGCTCCCCATCATTTCTCCAGACAAATGCTTTTCCTGCTGTTCCCTCCTGCAGGGAGACAGGTTTCTTCTCCGTGGTTGGACATTCATTTTACCCAAATTTTGCTCCAAGTTTCACTGTATTCCTCAGTCCCATACCTGAATACCCTGTTCCTCAACTTCTGTGGAAACAGAAGTTGTGACTATAGATATCAAACTGTCTATTCTAAACTCAAGTTGCACCTGCAGCTTCCTGTTGCTGTTCTTCACTTGTTTCTGCCTCCTTTCATGTTCTGTCTCAGGTCTTCCTCAAAATATCAAGGGAGATGTTATATATGTGGGAAACATTAAGCTGCACTTACTGAAACTGGGTAAACAAGCCTAGATCCTGTAAAGATTTTTTTTGTATGTGCTTAACTCTGTCTGGTGGGTGTGTTTCTGGCTGCAGGGAGCAGGTTGAGTGCACATGTGCCCGTGGGCAGGACATCCCAGCAATCTCTGTGACACACCATTCAGGAGCTCCATTTATGAGTGTTTACATGCACAAGTAAAAAGACTTGCAAAAATCCAGTGGAGAAAAGTATTACTCTCTCCTTTCCCCTCAGACTGACAGTGTAATGAGTCACAGCAGTGGTTTTGTATTTGTTTCTTCTTACAGGTTCTTTGCTAAGGCAGTGTTCTTATTGTCAAATTGTTTACACTTGCTATAGCTCCATGTTCCTGTGTGCAAATGGAGAGAGGAGGCCACCTTCAACCCCCAGTCTGTACCTGCTAGAATTTGATTTTGGAATAACTCTGGAAGCTTGAAGACTGTACTTTGTAAATTAATCTGTTCTGAAAGTCCAGTCTAATCTACCAAATGGGGATTGAAGGAACCTGTTACAGAAAGCTGAAGTTTAAGTCCAAATGAGGTCACTGTAAACTTCACTGTGGACTTCAAACAAAGGGAAATTACTGAAAAACATTTATTTAATGTGTCTTCTTCGAGACCAAAGGTACCAATTAACTAGGAGGTATTGCAAGCTAAGAGTTCTTTTGGCTGTCAATAACTGTCATAAAAAATACATTAGTTCTCTTATGGGCACTCTACCATGGGAATTTTATGCCTCCCATAAATTTAAACATGAATTATTGTGAGACAATTGCACAAAGGCTCCTACTAAATAACATCTGTTACAGTTAAGACACTGATTTCTTTCATGACCTGGTGAAGCTAATGGCAAGTAAATGGTAGGTCATCTTGTTGGTAGTAATGCAAACATATCTCAAAGGGGTTGGCAGCCAGAGAGGGAGCATCATTACCTTTGATCTAATGTCCAGCTCTATGTTGCCATTTCACTTGCTATCTTAATCATGAATTGATCCCAACTGCAAATTGGTTTACTTGAAAAATATTTTAGGGTATGCTAGTGTTACTCCCTTTAATCATGTTTTCTTGATCAGGTGAATTTTAGTAGCTGCTGTCATTGATTTCTGAAGCTGGAAATTGAATATGTCTATGTGTGAGTGCAAATTTCAGCTGATGGCACTGTCCTAACCTTCATCTTTGTTCTTGCTTTCATGAAAACTGATAAAAGCTTTGGTCAAAAGCTGCTAGAAGCAAGTTAGTCAAATAAGAGGTAAAAAACCCACAAAAACTTTTACATTTGTTTGGGTCACTCTTGTATCCTTATAGATTTAAAAAAACATCCTTTTCCTTGCTACTGTAATAAGAAACAGAAAATATATGGATTTTTATATCCCACAGACTTTTATTATGTTATGGAATGATAGTGTCATGGAAATCAGCAGAACTTTTTTCATTATTTGTATTTTTTTGCTAAATGTGTTGGACGAACAGGTTATTCTAAATGCATTTATTTATTAAAGAAAGGAATGATGAGACAGACAAGTCTTAGCAAGAACAATTTTGCATCTTGACTGAGCAGAAGTAACCCATCTAGACCTGCTGCCCCTGGGTGAAGCAGTAGAGATCTCTTGACAAGAAAGCCTCAAGTTCACCTCTTGTCATCCAGGGCTGGATGTGAGACTCAGGTGCCTCTTTTGATCTAAAGTTGTGAGGAAGATAGAAAATTTTCAAGAATGCAAGAAAGCAGAAGAATGGCTCTGTAGATGTGGTTAGAGGTATAAAGGCTCTTCTTGGAGTGAGCTTGGCCTTGAGTAGGACAGCCAGTTCTACCAGCACCAGCGAATATTCCGTGTTAGTCAGCGGTCATGGGACGTGCTCTGCAAGCACATGCTGAAGTTGAAGTTCTCATGGTTCTGCTATTATTGTTTATGCTGGATAGAGCTAGACAGCATCCTCCCAAATGTGATTTTGTTGCTGTGAGAGAGGAGGTAGGCACTTATGCTGTAGATCATGCAGGATTATTGATTTCAAATACAGTGTACACAGACTTTGATAAACTCCAGAGTTTAGGAGGATTTCCTTTACCTGAGATCTCTTGTCAGGTTTAATCAGTCTTGAAACAATTTTAAAGAGTATTTTGTAGGCTATTCTTGAACCCAGGAAGTGGAAAAGAATTAAAAAAAATATTCCTCAAACAAGCCCTAAATCCCTATTGCTTTTACAGTCTGTTTTTTTTTCATTTATTGACAATAAATGTATAGAAGCCAGTCTGAAACTAAAGCTGCACCATCTCCCATGAGCTGTGGCTTCTTTCCTAGGTGGACATGCACCTACAAGCAGAGGTGCCTTAGGTGTCACCAGAGCAGTGATGACACTGGTGGTGTAGACCCTGCTCTCAGCTCTGCCTTTGCAGCAGCTCTGCCCTGCACAACATCTTCATGCTGGGGATGCTTCCCAAGTGTTATGGAGGTGACACCTCACCCAGGGGATGTGGGTAGTTGGTTTTGGCAAGGAAAAGGAAAGTTTCCTGCCCTTTGGCAGGCAGCCCTTCTCTTGAGCTCTTCATGGAGATAGTGGGAGATGAGCAATAATGGGAATTCCTTTTATAGCTGAACAGATGTGTTAGTTGTCATAATAGCTTCAATTTTGATTTCCTCCACTGTCATATGTTTTCAGTAAATGTGTCCTGGGTAACATGTTGAAACTTCTCCTGAGTCTGCAGTTACACAAACAGAAGTGAACAAGTCTTTTCTATAAAAGCTTAATTTTTCTTTTCTTTTGAAAATTTTCATTTTGAAATGAAAGAGCAGGAAAGGATGGGAAGAGGAACTGAGATAAAGGGACTTGATCGAGACCATCTGGGAGATCCATAGTGATGTCAAGGCTTCTGCCATTTGAATCCCAGGCCAGTACCATGTTTGCTGTTGAAAGTAGCTGCAGAAAGAGCCAATTTTGTTATCAAGGTTTCTTCTGCATGTAATTTGTTACTTCCCCTCTCCTGGCCTTTTGCAAGGTCTTTAGGAAGTGGTTAGGGCAAACATTTGAAAATCCTTAGTTTTCCTCCTTGGTTTCCTCAGGTTTTTACTGGTTTGTTTTTTTTTTCTTACTTCTGTGGGGCAAGGCTCCTATCAAAACATTTAGAGACTTCCCTGACTGACAGTCTTCATACGATCTGTGACTGAATTATGTTACATTAGGTGTTCCACACAGACAGTGCACTGATCGATAGTATAAAAATCAACCACTGCTGCAGTTCCCACTGAAGGAAGATTAACTGCCTCTATAGACTTCAAAAAGCAGGAGGAGATGAATGGAGACAGGAAAACAGGCCAGTTTTCCCCAAAATGCATAGAATATACAAAGGGCATCTCTTATGCAAAATTCCCTGCTGTATGTCTGAGAGAAAGGTTAGAAGTAGAAGGTGTGTTGTGAGTGCACAAGTCTGTTTTCCATGGACACTGATCTGGCCTCTTGCTGTGAGTGGGTGTTTATGCTGATCCCAGAAGGCGGTTCATGACAAAAGGATGGATGCTTTTGGTGCTATTGCTCAATTTCTGAGTGCCTTTGACAAGTAGGGAGATTAATGAATCAAATGCAACAAGAATGTATCAGGTGGGTTTTGTTCTTTGGACAGATTCTGAATTTAAAATGGGAATGTTCTGGGTGTAGTTATGTTAAGACACTTGTAGGATGCAAAGATGGGGGAATCAATGAGTCCACAAAATTAAAATTGGATGAGACAGAGTTCTCAGGTTCCCCTTAGACACCAGTACCATGAGCACTTCACAGCACTGTGAAGCACCTACCCAGAGATTAGAGCTCCATACCCATTACTGCTGACTCCTACCATTCTGTGAGCCTGATAAATGGAAAATGGGAATTCTTTCACACCCTTAAGAAGTCTGGACCTTGGTGACTGCTGAATGATGCACTGGATGCCAAGGAGCTCTGTAGTGTAATCTGTGGGGCCGGAGGGTTACAGAGTCTGCAGAGGAACTGAAGGTGGGCACTGAGACTGGTCATCCTACTTTGATAAAATGGTTGAGAAATTCCCTGTGCAATGGTGAGAGCTGTCAGTGCCCTGAACACATCAACAGGGTTTTCATGTTTTCTTGCCTGGGGATTTGGCTGTTCAAGGTAAATTTTGACCCTCTGACTGCCTGGAAAAGTTGTGGGGAAAAAGATCCGTCAGAAATCTCATCTGGAACTTTTTGGTTCAGGAGGTGTCTGGCATCTCAAACACGTTGCCTGTGGCTCTTGCCTGAGCTGTGCTATGGGTGTGCCTTGCCCTGCCAGGTCTGGACTTGGTCTGGACCTCACTGGTCTGAACCTCATCTTGCTGACTTGACTTCTTGGCTTGACCTGCTGGCCTGCCTCTGGTGATCACTGTGGATGCCACCACAGCCCTGCTGTGCTGCTCTTGCTTGACACTGTGGGACTGTGCCCTTGTTGAGGGTCCAAGTCCTGGCAGGTGGCACTGTGTGAATGCAGTGTGTGAGTGATGTGTGTCCTCTATGGACTTGTGAGAGCTACTGTTGGGTCCTGATTGAGAGAAGGAAGCAAAATGTGAGCTTTGTGTCCAGTCTGTGAGGCCCTGGGACACCTGTGATTTACTGCCTTGTACCAGTTGGGCTCTCCTAGGAATTGCCTGCAGCAAAGGTTGGGTGTGAAACCCAAGCTATCCCATAGCTTGGGTGTGAAAAGTGGAAAGGGTGTGGAGGAGCAGTAAGCATGTCTTAATGCAACTTATTAACTTGGTCTGTGGAGCACTTACCTGGGAAATTCCTTGGCTTTGTGTGAGGATGTCATTTTTAAGAAGTGACCTTAATGATGATAATGGTGCCATTTTCCGAAATCTGTTATTTTTCACTGCAAGCCCCAGGTGCATAAACGCTGAAGGTTTTGTTTGATCTTGCTAACAACCCACAGATTTGTTCTGTATGCCCTTGAACTTCTTATTCTTCACTTTATTGAAAATCCTACAATTAATTACAATCAAACAGCTGCTTTTTTCCAGAAACATGCACATCAGAGACACGAGCACTTAAAATTATTAAATGTAGCATGATGTATTATTCAGTGTGCATGTGAACTTTTACTCTCTGTCTGATGCCTGTAACTGAGCAAACATGTATTGTGTGTTCTGCACCTTTCAAGAATGAGTGGGAAACTCCCTTATCTATGTGCTTTGGAAAAAACTTCACAGAGTGGTTGGGGTGGGAATTCCTGTCTTTGCTGGTTTTCTCTCATGTCATCAGCACCAAGCTGGATTTTGCAGTTACCTTGCAGGGTCTCTGTGTCTGCTGAGTGAATTCACTTTGTTGACAATGGTTGTCATGTTGGGTCCACGTGACTGAACATGTGCCCACCTGTGCCAACAACGGTACAGGAAAGAACATGCTGGTATTTCTTATGAGCAATGAGAAATTCTGGGATTCTTAAGAGAAATTCTAGAGAGCAGCAGGTAGGGAATGTGCAAATATTTCTGTCTCTGATCCCTGTGGGTCCTGAGTTTGGGCTGCATGATGTTTACTAGACACCAGCTTTACTCTGAAGAC